GGTCTTCATGTTGTCTAATTAACATCTGGGAAATTCACCAGACAGCTGGATTTAAACTGAGGATCATCTGTTCTAATGACATTTATTTAACAGTACTTAGTTAAACAGATATTTTACTTTGGAAAAGGTTTTAAGAGCTGTGCATCATTCATGTGGGGAATGTTGGACAAGTGGTTAGAGCAGTACGTTTATGCTCTGAGAAGGTTGCAAGTACTCGATCCCCAAAGCCTGCACTCTTAGTTCCTGAGCAAGACCCTTAATCCCGCACAGCTCTCCGGGCACCACAAAATGGCAGCCAACTGCTCCCCATCATTTTTTTTTACATAACAAAGACTATACTCAAAGTCCTCAAATCACATACTAATGCCACCCTTTAACCCGCCTGGTTTTGGTGAAAAATTATCTCGCTCAGCAAGTTTTCCATTAAACAACTGATAAGAACGCAGATCTGGAAAAAAATTATTAGAAACAGCCGGAAGTCTCCTGTCCTTCTCCAAGCAGCCGATTGTGGCCATGATACTAGAGATATGCTGGTTATACAAGAAAAGCAGATACTGGTTTCAAAGAGTGTCCTATGTCTTGATGAAGATGTTTACAGATACTTATCATGTTTTAACTTTTCATGTTCTGAAGTGTTTGTTATCTGCAGCCTCGACTGAGAATGTCTCTGTGAGGTTCATTTCGATCCCCAACTTTAGAACCTGATATACCTACTCTATAAAAAAAAGGCATGTGCTGCATTGTATTGAATGCATTAATACAATGCAGAGTAAATGTAGAGAGTAAATGTAGAGAGTAAAACAAATCCCAAGCTTAGAGTTAATATTAACTGAATGACAGGCAACAAACACACTCACACACACTCTTTTCGTCCAAAGGGCAGAGCTTACCATTGAAGCAGGTATTGTGTTAGATTGAGAGGAAAAAAGCAGCAGATGAACGGGAGTGAGGTCAGTCAGCGCACACACACTGGCCATGTTGCCATAGAGACGGACAAATTGCAAAGTGTAAAAAGCAAGAATGACGCTGTCTGACTGTTAATGTGAAGTTCAGACTGAGGGAGGGGACGTGGAGTGTGTTATTAACCTTTGACCTTCTCAATCCTGGCTGCTAAATAGCTCTTCTTGAGTGATATTTGACCCCAGTGACCTCCACCAGCAGGTCCGGCACCTGCTTGGGGGATGTTTTCATCTCAGATCGGTTTAAAGCCAAGCGAGGGCCTGGCGTTTAGAGTCTGAAGAGACAGCATGTGTGCCGGCAACATACCAGCAGGTAGGCAGGTGTGGGTTTACAGTGACAAACACAAAGGATTAACTGTGTGTCAATGGAGAGAAAACATACTTAACTGGTTTCAGGCAGTTTGTCAAAGATCAGTTGGTTGGCTTGCTTCTATCAACTGGCCATAGGGTCCAGTTTCGTCACGTCTCTCGGTCTTTTTTGTTTGCTTACCAGTTTACCTTGAACTGCTGTTACCTGAACAATAAATACTTTCTCACACAGTAAGACTGAATCGATATTGATGGGAATGTGTGAGATAATAAACTGATAAATGTGGGAGTTTGCATTCTGATCTGCTCATAACTCTGAGAAAACAAACATAAGATCCACAATTGAAAGAGCTGTTTTGTTAGGAATGGGTAGAAAAACAGCAAAAGGTTTGGGAGAAACTTGAAACTATCTCAACAGTTTGTTTAATGTTTCTAGATATTAATGGATTTATTTGAGAGTGTCTAAGAAATGACCAAATGTTGTGATTGTTTATTGAAATACATTGAGCTATGGCTTCCTATGCTTCCTTAATTGTTTATAAAGGAAGGTGATTTTCTATCTTTCCATATCAAGGCGTGAAGCATGAAACAGAAAGAATATAAACCAGATTACGGCCTAGCTGATTATCTCCCCGATCTCAGCCTATATCTTGGATCTACCTCTGTCACAACAACCCCTTGGATCCTTAAACTATGCATTGCGTAAATATACTTCTATTTATCCCAAAAGAGAAGTGGTTAATGATATTATGTCAAAAACATAATCATCATCTTATGCTTATTTTACCAAGGGGAATATTCAACAATGATCTCATTGTTTTGAGATACCAATATCCTAGTCTTGTTTCTTTAGCACAAATCTCATTTATGCAACTTTTTGACTGGTTGGCTTTGCCAAGATAATAGATCAAAGGCATATCTATGATATATCTATATCTGAGACATATCCAACTAGTAATATTTGAAGTTGTATTACTTATTTTTTCAATTAAAATTTTTACATGATGATCTATTTCAGAAATGTTACCTAATGGCTAAGTAAAGCCATTGTGAAAATGATTCCAGTTGTGGGAACAAGCAGGCTTTTTCAGTCGATACCAGATTTATTTTCTAAAACACTATATTATATAAAAACAAGTCATTTTTAAATAGAGGTAGAGGTTTTAACATACACGAATCAACACATATTTTTCATAGTCTTTGTCATATTATTTCTCAAAAATTTCCTGCAAACCAAAAAGAAAGACTAATGAAAATTCTATCATTTAGCAACTTATTTTTAGTGCAAGCTAAAATAAAAAAATTAATGTAACAGATATCCATCAAATATATTTTCTCTCCATGTCTGAAGGATGGAGTGGAAAATGGGATACTGTACCTTTTTCAACCGTTTGGTCCCTGTTTCAACCAGCCCACATCAAAAACCCAGTGAATGCACAAAGAGCGTCATAATAGGGTTTTAGCAACATTTTTATTGAAATAAAATCTGCTTTTATCTGTAAAAAACATCATAAAACACTGTACAAAATTTGTAAAACTGCCAACACTGACCAACCAATAAACAGATCCGTGGCGTCGGCTTCATATATACTGAACTTGACTGTGAAATGGCAATGAAAATGAAAACGTGCCTATGGGTGTGTGTACACGTGAGTCTTTGGTTTTGGGCTTCACACGGTGAACAGAACTTTTTAAAAAAGCAGGGATGAACAATGACATGCCCTGGTTAGGCTCACACACATCACACAGTAATGATGCAACGAAAAACAAACAACAGATGGAAAACCACAAATAAAATAAAAATTGAAACAAACAATTTGACACATCTTTCACATGTATGTACAGGCTGAACATGACTACGACAACATAATGAGATTGTCTCTGTGGGTTTTAAACAGTGCATGTCACAGTTTAGCATTCACAGCAGCCAAGTCCATCAAAGTAAAGTCACGTGACAGCAGTTTGTTACGAGTGCTTGTCACAGTCACGCAATTAGTGACCACCACTTCAGCCCTCGTTTTTTTTTTCTTTTTTCTTTCTTACATTAAATAGAAAGGAGCAAGGCACTCTGGGTAAAAAAAAAAAAAGGCAAGAGCTCCCAGATAATTACCTGTCATTAATCTGTGCAAACAATTGGCTTTTCCCCCCCAGTGATTGGGAACGCAGCAAAATTAAAAGTAGTATTTCAGCCAACTTGACAGGAAGTGCAAAGATTATGATACGGTTGCATTTAGTCTTAGTGTACCTCCTTCATACTGTAGGGGCTTTTTACAGCCCTGCATCTCTATTCCTTTTCTTCTTGCTACCTTTTCTTTTTCTACCTGGCTCCCTGACAAAGCTAGAATTAACTTAAATTGGTCTAAACTGGATGGAAACACTCTGAAGTGCTCCTTAGCCAGTGAGGTTCCTGGCCAAAGAAAGCCTAGAAACAATTATAACCCCCCCCCCCCAAAAAAATGATAGAATTCACTTTCTCTCTTTGTCACACTTCAACAAGCTGATCTGGTGATAAAGAGCAGCTTTATACCTTGAGAGTTTAACCATTAAGAGTAAACTCTCCAGAAATAAAAGGAAACGGAACAAAAATCAGACCTAATGAGGTTGTCAGTGTGAAGAAGCCTACAACAGCCACAGGAAGAACTCAAGATTTAAAATACAACAAATCAAGAAAAACAGGCAACTTCCTTCATTTAACCATTTGCACAAAAAAAAAGAGAGATGCCAAACACAAGACAAAATAAATTAAAACAAAAAGTATCCCAGCGTAAACCTGCATGGGATTTTCACAAATGAATACCTTTGATCTATTCTTAGATGTTAAAGTAAGATGTCAGGCCCCAACTACATTACTCTAGATATTTGTTTCAATCATAATTTTCCTCCTCCGTTTTTTTCCTGTGGCAATAACACTTGCATTACCTACAATACATTCAAACAGAGATTCTATTAGCTTAAACAATGCTCTGCTAAATATATATAAAAAAAACTCCATGTTTTTAAATGATGTATTTTATTTGCTCATTCACATGCTCTACTTGCTTAATATGTTCCGAAGTTTGAAGAAAAAACACCTAGCAATAAGAGAAACAGGAGTGAAAAAGAAAACACATTTGGTTTTAATGCTGTTTAAATGTGTAAAGGGAGTTTTTTCATCAAGGCTCTAACAAAGATTTGGATATTAAGTTCGCACTATTTTCTTCTTACATATCTGATCTTTGGAAATTTCTGGTTATATAACCAAAGTTTAGCATGCATGAAGAAAAGCATAATTGGAGGAGAAACCTTTGAGCAATATATCCAATGTAGTATTGTAAGGGGCCTGAGACTAACAAATGTGGACTGCTTTCCTCATTTTAACATCTGTTTAAGAAAAAAAAGAAAACAAATACAAAAAAGAAACAACTTAAAAATCCTGTTTTATGTTCACTCTACAAATGTTTGGTCACCAGATTCCGAAACCCATATTTGGTCAATCCTTAACGTGTTCCTTCATATTTTTGCACTGTCCATACTGAACAAAAAAGCATAATGGAACAAAATGGACATAGTGAACAGAACAAACTTAAAATAACATGAAGAAAGCCATTTAAAAGAGGGATGCTCTGCAAGCGAATCAGTGAGGCTTTGGTGGAATAACACAGTGCCATGTAAGTCCAAGCATGTCTAACACAACTGGCTGGTCCAATAGATGTTTTCCCTGTGGTACATTGTCATGTTTGCATATTCTCCTACCTGTTTGTTGTTGTATTTGGGTGGGTTGCCCTTGTAGCTGTAATCCGAATATTGATCCGATCCTGTGGAGTTGTTGTCGCCTGTCCCAACGAAGGTGTTGGTTGCAGGGAGGTCCTGAACAGCTTGGTGTTTCTTGGAGGCAGAGGGTGATTGTGGTTGTAGCTGAATAGATGGCAAAGGAGAGTTGGACCTGTAGTGACGGCCCAGGTCAGGGCTTCCAGGTGGGTAGTTAAGAGGCAGATGAATTCTGGGGCTGTCGGTGACTTCATCAATAAGGTTAAACTTTAGACCTTTCTGCAGACTGGCCTCCTCATCCTCTTCCAATGGTTTGGTGGGTTTTGGAGCTTTTGGCTTTTTGCTCTTTTTTCCCTTCCCATTTTTTGGACCCTGCTTGGGCGTATAAAGATCCTTACTCTCCTTCTTGCCAGCTTGGTAACCACTCTTAGTATCTTTCTGCAGGTGGTGTCTAATGAACACCACTGCTACAATGACCAGAATTACGACAGCAACACCTGCAAGAATGCCATACATTATATTGGTATGCTGACTGTAGGCGTAGTTCGGGTCTCCTGCAATGTCTCTGTCCAGGGGTGTGTAAAGACTGTGACCAACCAGTGCCTCAATGAGAGACACATTGGATTTGGTTTCATTCACAAACACATGGACTAATGCTGTTGTGTGGCGAGGAGGTTTGCCGCGATCACTGACCCTCACAACAAGTCGGTGAAGCCCATTGTGCTTGCCAGAGAATTCCTTTGCCAGTGTGATCTCACCACTTGTGGGTGAGATTTGGAAAAGGCCGTAAGGGTTTCCTCCCGTGATGGAATAGTACAGCTCAGCATTAGGTCCAGCATCAATGTCCTCTGCTTCAACCACTTCCACGCGTGTTTCTGGAGGTGTGACAGGTGTCAGGTAGGTGTAGGATGAGTTGGATGGTTTGGTAACATAGGGGGCATTGTCATTCTCATCCAGAACATTAATAGTCACTCCAACGTAGGAGTACCGTGGTGGTTCTCCACCGTCCACAGCCTTTAAACGAAAACTGTAGGTGCTTTCTTTTTCACGGTCAAATGAAATGCTTGAGAGGATAGTTCCTGTGCCATTTTGGATCACAAATTTGCCATTATCTGGATCTACAAACAGTGTCACTCTGGAATTCTCTCCTTTATCGGCATCAGTAACAGTCACTACACCAACAGGATTTAGTGGAAGCATGTTCTCAATGACAGAAAAGCTATAGCCATTAAGCATGAATTTGGGTTCATTGTCATTGCGGTCTAAAACATTTACTACCACTGTTGCAGTTCCAGTTTTACTTGGAAGGCCCTTATCAGCAGCTGCAATGTGGAACTCATACCGCTCAACCTCCTCTCGATCCAGTGTATTTTTCACACGGACCTCCCCAGAGTGGGCATCAACTTCAAAAAGCCGGGTAGCTGAGGGCTCAATTATGCTATAAATCATCTCTGCATTGATACCACTATCTGCATCAGTGGCCACAACATCTAGCACCTTGTCCCCTGGCTGGTTACCCTCTGCAAAGTCAACTTCAAGCAATGGCGGTGAAAATGTTGGGGTGTTGTCATTCACGTCTGTGACCTGAACTTTAAGAGAATTGGTGCTTGACAGAGCTGGGTTACCAGAATCCACAGCAACTATTTCAATTCTGTAATCCTTAATACGTTCATAATCCAGGAGAGTAGTTGTTTTCAGGAAGTATTTTCTCTTCCGATCATTGGCTGACTCACTAGCAGGTTGGAGTTCGAATGGGACATCACCAGCAACCACACATGTCACCACAGCATTTTCCCCCTCGTCACTGTCTGACACCTGCACCAGTGCTACTGGCGTACCAACTGGCATGTCTTCTGAGATATTAGCCACACTGTCCTGGTGAATTAGCAACCCAATACCCCGGATCTCTATTGCTGGCGCATTGTCATTTTGGTCCTTGAAAATGATAGTCACTAAGACTTTGGAACTCTTGGGATTAGGTCCACGATCTCTGGCAACAACAAAGAACTTGAGAAAGCTAGTGTCTTCTCTGTCCACCATTCCTTTGACGTAAATGATACCAGTTGAGCGGTCGATTCGCAGAAGCCTCTGGACAGTCTCAGATACTTGATAGAAGCTGTAGTCTATCTCTCCATTTGTTCCAGTGTCAGCATCATTGGCTCTGACCTGCAAACACAAAAAAGTATATTTTTCACCAAAACAAATCAAACATCTTCAGATTAAAAAAATAAATAAATTTAAACTGAAAATAAACATTAATACAATGAAAAAAAAATAATTCTTTGCCGTATGTTGGGTCTATTTGGCGTGACATGTCACTATGACCCTTAACACCCTGCATTCTTAATACTAGCTCAGTTATAGTTTTATGAATATTTGGCTTGACTTACAAAGAATCAAAACCATTAGCCATGTACAAAGCCCAGTGTTGAGGGGGCGGAAGTTTCTGCTGTGTGGAACCATAATACATTATCAAAGCTGAGTGCACACACCCACACAAAAACATCTAACGCTTGTGTAGCAGGTCACTGGAATCTAATGAGCAGATGAGTGAATGTTAATGTTTCTCTCATTATGAGAAAAGCCCCGTCTCCTCTGGGCCAATCAGGAGAACAGGGTGAACATACCAACATCAGCCACAACCCTGCTTCCCATATCCAAACCTAAGGTAAATTGAGGTAATTAGTCAATTAGAGCGTGGGAGTAGTCAGCAAAATATCACTTAGGTTAAGTTTGTTAGGAAGGCTCTCTGACAACACATCTAATGCTGTTTAATTGTATGTGTTCAATTCCATGGCTGCTATTAAGGGATGTAGCTTGTTGTTATGTCAAATACATCAGACAAGTTTTATAAACATCTAAGGGAATGCTAACTCAGCAGTCCTTCAGCCTTTACCTGGAACCTACAGTGATGTAATTAAGATTTTAAAATCCTTAGATCAATTAATTACTTTAAAGCATTGGTGAATATGAGCCAAAGTTGCACTCACCTAAAATAATCTTTTAAAAAGTCCTTAAAAGGAAAAGAAATGTGCCAATGGGATAGGATTATTTGAGGATTGTAACATTGATAATAAAATTCGAATTTGGGCCAAGGACACAAAAATCAATTTATAATTCCAACAGCAAGAGGAACATTTTCATGGGCCTTTCAGTTTGAGACGAAACCACTGCCTTATCTAAAGGATAATCACAACTTTGAATTTAGAAGATTAATAAAGACGGGAAGGCAGGCTTTGGGCAAGGTTATTAGAATCCTTCCATCATCTCCAACTTTGTTTATAAGAAAAAAAACATATTTTTTTCCAGTTCAAATCATACTAAATAAAAAGTTCTTCTTCATGGATGTTGATCTGCCTTAATTAATAATTTATGAGTAGAAATCTAAACATAAAAAATATATTTAAATTTATGTTCATGTTGTGACCTGATTTTTTAGATGTTGGTATAAAACTAAACTGTAAAAGTATTTTCTTATAAAAGTAATTTACATTGTGATCGGGTGAGTACTTCTTTATTAAGTGAATCAGCTAATATATGTATTACAATTTTTCTAAACTTTGACATTTTTCATTGTGTTCCTCATTCATACATGAAAGTCTTGATTTTATGTACTGGAATGGTATTATGATTTAAGTTAAACTATCTGAAAAAGTTTGAGTAGAACTCATGAATTGCTAAACTATTTTTGCAACAGCTTGCCACATAAAAAATATAACTTTCCTGTTCAATAGTATCAAACACTAGGATATTATCAGCTGACATTGAGCGACAATGAAAGCTCCCAATCCAAGTAAAGGTAGGTAATTTAAGGTAAAAGAAAGCCTAAAACTTAAATCATAATTTTGCCTGCTGATGTTTTTTTTTTTCCACCACCAGTGTGCCTTTAAACAGCAGATATCGCCAAACATCAATAAATTATTGACAGCTTTTGAGAGTTGTGTATTTAACGGGGGCGTTGGAAGAGAACAGGGTCTCTCTGATGAAGCAAGAGTCCTTTTGGCTGCTCTCCAAGGCCACTCTGTCCAAGCACACCGCAAGTATAAACACTCTTTATGTCTCGGTTAACAATTATCCAGCAAGGTTAACTGATGTGCTTAAATAAGCCAACCACAATCTCTGCACGTTTTAGGAGATTAGTAATTATCAATAGTATGCTGTTTTTGAAATTAAACTGTCTTAGACCGGTGGCTCTCATACCGGGAAACAATCTAAAGATAATCCTTCAAAGTTCACATTCTATCTGTTTCATTGTTGAGTAAATAACACTATAATTACATGGAAAATCAATACAGACTCTTTAAATTGTTCTGGCTTGCATTCTCTACATTATTAATCAGCACATTCCTAAAGTAATACAGTTGTTTATTGGTCCTTCATGGGAATTCAACTTTTAAACATTAGATATCTTTGTCAATATACTCAGGAGGATTTGGTCCTTAATAAGATCAAGATTTGCACTCTTGATTCTAAGGAGGGAGTGTTTAAGCTAGTTAATTATAAGTGTTAGGACTTGACAAATCAATTTTGAAAATCTTGAATGCCTCCTGTTTAATTTTTGCCTTTTTATTACACTTCTTTAATTAGTTTAAAGTATGTGAGGCATTGTCAATGAACGTAATAAGTTTAAACATGATAATCAGGTAATAGTGCAAAGTTCGATTTAAAAAGAGGCTCTGGTACCACAACTGACCTGATATGGCATTTAAGGTGATCTTTTTTAGATTTATTAATAAGTTAATTGACTGAAATACCCATTTTCTTAGTTTCACATTAAAGAAACCATGTTAAAAGTTGGCTCAACCTATGCTATGCTCATTTTGAAGACTGAGACGAAGCTTGGGATATGTATGTCCGCATAGCCGGTGGACATTTTGAGCAGGTCAGGGTCGTCTATCATCATTGTCCCGCTGCCTCTATAGACCATCACTTCTCAAATGCACACTAAGTGAAATGAATTCTGGGGCTCTCTGAAATGCAATGAGCCACATCCAGAGCAATAATACCAATAAGCCCCGTGGATAATCTCATGACTGACTCAGATTAAGTCATGCACATCGAGCTGGATGGCTGGCTGGTCGGCCTGTGCTGCAGTCACATGGAAACAGGGAGAGCGCAGGATGACACGGTGAGCTGGGTTTGTCAGGTTTTGTGGAGTTGCCCAACCGGACAGCGGCTTCCTGTTCTGCCAACTGACGCCAACATTACTGACCAGCGCCAGGCCCAGGGCTCAAAGGTGAAGTTGAATCGGTGGTTAATATGTGACTACACACACGATCCCACGCCCTGTTTCACCTCCACTCCGCCATCTGTCTGTACGGATAATTGAGCAGGATATTATGTGCAGTCAGTGTGCCGAGTTGTCCTGCAGCTTTCAGACTTTATCACCAACAAGGCCAAAGGTTTAACTGAAATGTTTGGTGACTGTAGGGAATGCTGGATTGCTGGGCAACAGCAGTAATGCATAGTCACAACTTTACTTAGTATGAAAAAGTCTGCTAAAGTTTGGTTAAATATAATTCCTGGATATTGGTATTTCAGTTTTAAAAAAACACTACTTCCTCAACTATTTTGTCCCACAGTTATTAAATTGTTTCTATGATGAAAAAAAAAAAAAACTAAAAAAAATTTTAATCCAATTATCTGAACCACTGACCTGGAGGAGAAATCCCAGCTGATCCGGGAGCTACAGTATTTACACCAACAGACATCAGGGCCATGATTTATTATTAACAATGTATAAAAAGATGACATATTGGGGAGGTGTTTGAGTCAGTGTGGTGTCTTGAATATTTCAAGCTTTAGACAGTAAGGGAATTCAGGACAGTGTTACCCAAACATATCCATGTTTTCTCTCCCTTTCCACTTTTTGTAAAACTAAGGAAATAGAACCTTCCAAATTAGATTTTTGTTGTATACAACTCGGTCTCAATATTTTTTTTTTTTTTTCTGTGACTATAATTTAATATGACTTATTTTACTGTTATACATCAATTGACACAGTCACATATTTCAGGTATTTATGTACAAAATGCTTGGTGATTATGGCCAACAGCTAATGTGATGTACAAAAAAAAAAATTCCAGAGAAGGTAGTCTGTATGTACCAGTAGTTGGATTCATTTTTGAACAGACCAGAAACAAGTTATCTAAGAGTTTTGTAAGTTGTGCCTTGTAATATCTTTCTGAAATTCTCAATTAACAGAAAGGAGATGTCTAAAATAATTTTCATTCACTGACCTGCAACACAGAATGTCCCAGTGGGCTGTTCTCCGGAAGTTCAGCCTCATAGTGATTTCTCTCAAACTTTGGGACATTGTCATTCTGATCAGTCACTGTGATTCGCAGTAGAGCACTGCTCGCCCTGGGTGGCTTCCCTCCATCCACGACACGAATATTCAGATCATACGAGTCCTTTTTCTCACGATCAAGGTTCCCTAGGACCACCAGCTGTGGCTGCTTTTCCTCCGGGTCAACTTGAAGGTTGAAGAGCCGATCAGCATCCGGTCCATGTGTCAGGGAGTATTCGGCCACCCCGTTTGAACCAGAGTCCTTGTCTGTTGCCATTGGGATGGGAAAGTAAGCGCCAGCGTAGGTGTTCTCTGGAATAGCCAGGGTAAGGATGGGAGAGGAGAACTGTGGTGTGTTGTCATTGATATCCAGGACCTCAATTAGACCTTCGATCAGCCGCGGTCCAGAGCCGATCCCTTTCACCATGTCAGTGATCGACACCTCAAACTCCAGGAAGCATTTTTCACCAAACAGGTTTTGGCATTCTCTCAGGTGCTCACGGTCGATAGGGACTTCAGTGGTGTAGATTTCCCCGGTTTTGCCGTCCACTCTCAGATATGGGGCACCCACCTCCAGCTTGTATAGATGTCCAGTGTCAGGAAGGCCTTTATCTGCTGCCAGGCTGCCGATCAACGTGTTAGGCGGCTGCTCCTCAGGAACCCGATACAGAACATCGGTAGGCACAGCAATGCAGGAGACCATCAGCATGGAGGCCAGGAGCCACAGAACTTCCCACTTGAGGATCATCATTTCTCTGCCAGACAGCATCACTCTGAAAAAGATCAAGAAAGTAAAAACATCTGTCATCAAAAAATATCAGATAAAATAAATGCAGCAAAATAAGGTTTTTATTTAAAAGGGATCGTAGGAGTTCTCTATGGAGTTGAGCAGAATAAAAAATATTGTGACCTTGTTTATAACAAATGATAAGAGAAAACTTTTCTTAGACTTAGACTCCTGAGAACCTGCGTCCACTCCCAGCATCCTCTAATAGCAACATGACAATACTACACTCATTTGAATGAAAGCAAGATGGCGGGGATCCAAGTAAAAAGCTTCTACAACAACTCTATTAAGAAAAAAGGCCAAGTAAAAATCCTAATAATGTTTATGCATCTTAAGCTTCAAAAGAAAAACATTTTTGCAAAACACAATGTCGGTAAACATAAATTACACATTTGTGGACATCAGGGCTATATTTCGCTATTGATTGTGTCATGTGGTTGGATAAATGTGGGAATATTTAGAAGTTTACAGATATAAATGTTTATTTTAAGTTATATTTGATCAGATCTTTTGATAAGATGAATATAGAAATATTTAAAACTATTCACAAGTGTAAATTGTACTTGCAAGAGGTACATTTTTCAACCAAAAATTTGCTTGCAAGGTACATTAGCCACCTAGATGTGGTATAGATTTAAATCTGAATTTATTAATAATTTTATAATTATAGGGAGCATTTGCTGATGGGAATTTTAGACAACTCTAAGGTTGAATATTTATCAGATGGAGATGAAAACGATCCAATTGTGGATGAAAATACTATTGATATGGACCTCTTACATTTGGAACAACCATTGGAAGATTCTGAAGATTAATATTTTCATCCACATTCACCTGAGGAGGATTCTGATGATTATTCACTGCCTGATGCAGCAATGATAATACCGTCAGTGGGAATAGGGGTGAACTACCACAATCAGAAGTATGTTAACACAGGCGTAAACAAAGACATGGTGAGCCAGAACCTAAGCCCAGTGAAGAACTTTGAAGAGCTAAACGTGATTATCACTGGAAGTCTGCTTCTTTGGCCCCTAGCCTAGCTCAGTTTCACGGTACAGATGATGACCTGAAAGATGAGCAAGTAGATTGGTGCCACAGGATTATGTGGAGCTGTACATAGACTTGAGGCTGATTAAACTACTTGCCGACTAAAGAAACACAATGTCACTGGCTAAGACTGGGAGATCTCTCAATACGATTAATGAAGGACTTTTATAGATTTAAAGATCAATCTGAAGTTCTTCACCAGTTTGAAACACTAGCAGGTAAAATTAACTGTAAATGAATGGGTAATTTACCACACTAAGATGAAGGAATAAAAAGAAGAACTATGACTAAAATAATATGAAATAAACAATAAGAATCTATTCCTTTGAGTCTGTTTTTGATGCTTTCCTCTCATGTAATAAATGCACAACAAAAAATTTAATGTGACCACGATTTTTATGATGCAATCCTATTGCAGATCTCAATATTACTTGAAATTAGTTTGATATGGTAATATCAATATTAACTCTGGAGCAGTGGAAAACCACACTTACCACACAATTTAAACTATTGGGAAAAATCTCCATCAAATGTGAAATATGCCAAGAAGATGCTCTGTCCCCCCTGCTGTTCAGCATAGGCCTGAAGCCCACAGCCAAATAATCAAGAAGACTGGCTATGGATACTGTCTCAGGGCAGTAAGCCCCCACACTGGAGAAGTGGCTCTGATAGATACACAGAGTCCAGAAATGGAGAAAAAGGTACTGAGCTCCTTTAGTTGATATGTTCCATTACGGGCTACGGCTACTTTTCTTTATTTCTCACTCTTTAACTTTTTCCTGTCATGGTAAACTTGTAGGAGCAATTAAATCTCTGAACAATTTAATCTCTTGCAGAAATGTAAGATCTCCTACTCAACTTTGTTTCATTAGAACTGTGTGTGACAAGCTCAAGCCTTAAAATAATAAGGTTTTATTTACAGTCAATTTTAGACTGTCTGACCTAGAAGGTCTGTCAGAAAGAAGCAGTCTGAGCCGCTAAATGCAAATGTTTTTGCTTAGAAGTTGACTTCCTCACCCAATGTTCAGTCTGCTACATCTATGCCAGACACTTTTTGATATGAGCTTTCTTCCTCTACTTCATCTCTGCACCTTTTTTTTTTCTTGGCAGTAAATCATCAGAGACTTTTTCACAGTGGGAGTATCTTGGCGACGGAGGTTAAGCTTTATTTTTAAAAGTTTTTTATCACTATGTCCTTGATTTGGAAACAGACACATAAATGTTGAGTGCAGAACAGAAATTCACCAACTAATGCCAACAGGTGGTGTCTACGTGGGAAGGAGGGCTTGTGTTTTTCTCTTTGCATTAAGGCTCCTATTGGCAGACTGACATTAAGAGAAGATGTGTTTGTGTGAAGTCATTTTGTGATTACATAAATAAATCAACTCAGTGTTTCAACCAATTCCTTTTTGCAAAAACATAACCGCAAAACTAAAACATTAGAGCCTTTCCCAACAAACATCCAACATGACAAGAAATATGTAGATAAGGCCACACGCCATGAATATGTAGAAACCTGAGTAGGTCGCAGTGTAATAAATAAAATAACAAAGTGACCTAAACCAGCATGTAAAAAAATATGGAAATTAGTTTGGAATGAAAAACTTTTATTATATAAAGACCAGCATATCTTAAAATTCTAGCACCACATTTTTGAATTCAACACACCACATATGAACACATGTGGAGCTCTGTGTGTGCCTCTCTGAGGCGAATACATAGACAAAACTTTAATAAACTGAATAAAAAGCTGACTAACCATGGCCCATCCTTTTTCCATACTACGATATAGACTCCTATGAAGATTTAGCAGCTTCTGAAAAATATCAAACACTTAAAATAAAAGGATTTACAAATAAATCACACAATGTAGTCGAAACGCTTGGTTCTAATTTTACAAAAGTGATACTGCTCCTTGTTGATTGCTTTATATTTTGACAAAGAGCCTAAATGTTATTCTTTATAATCATGTTTTTAATAAGATAGCTCTGCCATTCATTAAACACGGCTAGATAAGTTAAAAAATTTTGGATTTTATTTGATCTTATGAGTAATGCTTTTTTTTTTTACTTCAACTTCTCAGTTATAGACAAGATGTGGGCATCATAACGTTTTTTTTTTTGTGTGTATAATCTGATTTTTGTCTGGGGTTCTGTTTTTCAACTGAGCCTGTGGACAGACGCCAACATTGACAATTTGTTTACACATCAAACAAGGCGCTTACTCACTAAAAAACTATGACACAGACTGTTAGTAATATCTACATCGAGCTACAAGTGTGTTCAGTTTGAATCTTGTTTCATGTTAATGCAAACCTGAAACGTTAGACATTGGGGCATAATAAGTGTAAAACCAGCCTTTGGCAAACGGAGAGAAAGATCATGTTAAAAAGGCTTTGTGCATACAAACAGTCACAAAAGGTAATAAAACATTAGCTGTGAAGCTGAAAGCGACAAATGTTCGGGGCGTTGTTCCTGTGGGTCCAGCTCAATTGATGCCCAGCTCACTGCTGTGACACACAGATGCCTAATTACCCCTGAAAGACTGTAAATGTGAGTGTGTAAATGTGAGCTTTACAGAGCGAAGTATGTGTGTTTGTTTTCTCACATTTTCCTCCAGAGCTGCAAAAATACCAGAAACCAATGACCCCCCCAACCCTTGACCCTGCGGCATTTTACATGTTGCTGTGGAAACGATGCCGAAACAACCGCATGCACTACCATAGAGCTTATTTGCTGTAATTCATATGCAATAGATTTCTTTGAATTTCTACATGAAAGAACAACCTGCTGCTTATTCTCCAAGGCAGTTTATTTAAAGATGACCTCATGTTTTGCCAGCATGTGCATATAAACCAGGATCAGAAGTAGTGAAGATGTGCTAAAGAAAAACAAATCATGAAATTCAACTTTCAGGAGAGACACCTTTACCGGTATCTGTTATGATTCAGATGACTTTTTTTTTTCCGTATGGTGTCACATGTTCTCAATATTTATTTTTTCTACAGGTTAAGCCTGGGAAAACCAAAATATGTTTCACATCTTAGAAACCTCTCATAAACCTGAGGAGTAGCTAACACTCGGGATTTCGTAATAAGGACTGGTTTAACTGATTTTAGCTGTTCTGGTTTCAAAACCAGACGTGTTGCAACACACACCTTCTTCTCTTGATTTGGGAGGCAGATGCTAAATATGGCAGTGTTGTCCGACTGGAAAAAACAGTTTAACTCTGTTAAAAAAATGTTCAGTCACCTTTAACTGAAAAGAGAGAAAATGCATTTTAAAAATGACACGCAAGAAAAAGTCTTTAAATTAAAGACTAAATTTATTGGACTCAATTAGAATTTAAATTTTGATTTTATTTTATCTTTTGCTATTGTTGACCAGAAGAAATGGATATAATGGTTAAGAAAGTTGGCCAAGGCAGATTTTAAATAAGCCTAGTAAAATTAATTATATTGCGCAAATCTATAATTATATCAATGAATTTCAGTTTATTAATATCAAGGCCGGCAAACTCGTTCAAATCCATGAGAGAGATTGGAAAGCGACAAGATCTAGATTTAAAAAGTAGTTAACTCAAATCCTCAAGTAAAAACACTGATAAATCAGTCGACTGCCCAGAAGAAACAAAAAGATTTCAACTTTTATGTAGGAATAACTTTTTAATTTATATTTTCTCATAAAACCCTGCTTTTCAGCTGTATCTTACCATACACTCAGAATCTAAGTCCACTATTATAAATCCTACATGTTAGTATTTAATCAAGCACTTATTGAAGAAGGTACCGGTAAATATTTTAATTATATAGATTTAAGTATATAGATACCTAACCAAATGCTGATGGTAAAGTCTGACTGACATCAACAGCTGAACGTGTAAACAGAAAAACCCAGAGCTGCTGCTATTGTTCATCACCTTCAAAGAAAGCTAAAAAAA